GAGGAAGTCCGTGGATTGGTCAATTTGGACCAATCAGCCGGGGCTTAACGTAACGGCTCCACGGATTGGTCCATTTCGTTCCGGGTACGGGTTGACATCATGCCGTACCCGGAAGAATCAAATGGACAATGACGTATCTCCAACGAGGCGTTTTGGGGAGGTATTTTCTGTGTTAGAGTTTTACTCGCTATAGGGTGTACTTTGAGGGATTTGACTCTGCACACCGTTTACATGCATAAAAACCTTCATAACACACAAGGGGACGGGTAATAACCGGAAAAGCATGACACCTCTCCTTTAAATCAAATGTTGGCAGTGCTAAACATTGCCAGACCAAAACAAATGTTCTTTACAATCTCCAGAAGATGTTGGTCGGGAGGGATAATGGTCTGTTTTTAAAACGCTTTATAGCCAGTGAATGACTGATTCTATAATTTAGGGTGCATTTCACATCAACAAAACAGTACAAAGAAAGTGTTCTTTCTCAATAGAACAATCAGTGGTTCAAGTTAGTATATTCCTCAGTGTAACATATCCACTAGTTGCAAAGCTTAAACATTTTTATTTTTTTTTTTATTTTAAGGGAAAGGATGTTTTCACTACTCAGTTTGTCAACTATGTTACGGACAAACTTGATGTCATTACAATCATTTGATTAAGTCCTGCACTTCAAGTAAAATCAAATTTTGAAAGGCTCTCGAGTCTATTCTACCATATATCCAAAGATTTTTTTAAAGTTTAAAAAATAATTGTATTAAAGTTTTGTTTTTTCATGTGATATGTTCAGCACTGTCATTAAGTTTAGGGATATTTTGTATTATAAAACTACCATACAGGTCATTTTGATAGTTTTAAGAGATGTCATGTAAAACTCCAACCTGTGTAGATATACATTATACTATAAAGGATATCAGAAGCACTATTTTAGATATTTTAAATTTGAAAAAATGAGGTGCAACATAGTTGACAATGAAAGTCAAACATTTGACGCAAATAACATAGTTGACTGGACACATTAACCATCAGCACTATGTTAATTTCAAGGCAGAAGTGCAAAATTCCATTGATAATGATGTGTAATGACGTCTACATGTCATACAAATTGTCAACTAGGTTACCTGTCAACTAAGTTACTACAGTTATTACAGTACTGGGTAACTCAGTTGACAGGTAACCTAGTTGACAATTTCCCTATTTTGACCCATCATTTCAATGCTAGGCCTTGCCTGGATGACCACATGTCATTTTCTTGAACAGGTTAACATCACATTTGAACATATAATTGAATTAAAATCATTAAACAATTGTAAACCATAACAATGTACGTAACATTGTTGATTGTCAATGAGTATATTAATTGACCATGTGCTATTATACATAAAATATTGTAAAAATGTAGAGGACAATCACCACAGTGTGTTCAAAATGTCTGCCAAAGAGGAACATGGCATCATGTGATGCTGGTGACATGGTATTGGGACAAACAATTTTTGAGTTAAAGGGGGAAGTTCTGTTAGTAACATAGTTGACAGAACTTTTGCGGACATTCATATATTAAGATATTTAAATTATTTAAAGGGGGAAATCAATTAAAAATATGTTATTCTTTAGTATTTAGACTTTTGAAATAAATGAATCATTTTTTAAATTTACTTTAATGGTTTTTATTCATTATTTTGAATCCAAGACACCCTCAACTGAAAAACGGACATAGCAAAAAACTGACAATTTAAGAACATCATGACACATTTCAAGCTAAATAAAGCATAGGATGCACATAATGTTTGTGTGATATTATAACATGCTTTCCAATAATAGGCAAAATATGATATTTTTGAAGAAAATAGTTAGAATAATTATAATTATCATCAATGGACATCAATGGACATGGAATGTACCCTAAATTGTAGAATCACTCGAATACCAAGATGCCCATCACACTAAAGGTTTGTAAACATTTAATTGAGCCACCACATTACCACAAAAAATTCCCACCTTGTGCAAAATGAAGATGAACATTAGGCAAAAAAGACCATGAGCTTGTGTGGATATATCGTATAAAACATTTATTCATTTCAGGGGAGACTTATTGCTGTGTCTCGTTTTACTTTTCATTCACAACTGATCGTCGCACTGACTTGCTCCTCTGCTGCCCTCCAGTGGCCACAAGGCACAACAGGTACTTTTACATTACAGCATGTAGCTCCAAACCACAAAAGTATTTCCTTCAGAAAATGCACTTCACTAAAGCTCTAAACATGGCACATGAACCTGTCACCGCAACACAAATATAAACTATATACAATAAAATCAGGAATATAGTAGCTACAATATGAATGCTCTACAGTGAGCAGAGATGTATTTTTATGTGTGGGCATAATGTACAGGGTAATAGTCAAATGACTGCCACAAGGCCTTTCTATGACACTGAATAGGAACAGATCACAGCTCTGATTTAGTAGATCTTGCTGACCAACAATTGCTGAATAGGTTTAACAAAAAATAATCTTTAAAATTAGACTGTTTCTCAGAATAAAGAAAAATGATGTGCCTCATGTAAAAAAATTCTGCATTCCAGACTGACTCTTTTCACTTTTTTAATGTTACACCAGCAAACCCTTGTACCCAGATGCTAAATTACTACTAAGCTACATTTGAAACATTCAGCACTTTTCTATAACTTTGAGGCTGCACTGTCTGCTGTTCAGCAACAGTTAAGGAGACTGGCTTTAAAGGGGAGATGTGCTGTCAACGTGTATGAATAATGCATTGTTTCCTTGTTAATAAGTGAACCATTATGTTGCATATATCACAAACACAAAAAGGACTTTCATACACAGTAAGTGTACATCTGTGTCTTGTGGCCAAAGGCACGTTAACAGGTGAACAGTGACCTGGTTCAATAAGATGTCATATCTCAGTTGCTAAACACAAGCTATGCCAGATGCTCAAACTGAGTGATAAGAATAATAATGGAAATCATTCTATTTGTGATCAAAACCGTAGTTGGTGTGGACAGTCTTCATTTCCATCATTGTTGGGCTCTCCTGAACTCTAAGAGACAAAGATAATGAACCCTAAATTGCTCCTGATTGCATGGCGATCAGTGTGAGTGTGAATCTTGTTCTCCCTTAGCAGGTGCATGCACTATATGAATGTGTGTATTCTGCTGTTCAACTTGACTTATGTCAAAGTAATTTGAGGGGTCACAAGAGTGGAAAAGTGCAATATAAATGCTGCCAATTTAACATATACACTATTTCTATCTCCTTCCCTCCTTCCTTTCCATGATCTTTGAACTGAAGCTGATACTCTAGTTTTGGGTTATTTCCAGAGTTTAAACTTGTAATACTGTTGTCCAGGGTGTGGTCCGTTTGCATTAGTCAACAATACACAGAAGGATTGGGCACTCGTTTCACCCGGTTATTTTCCAGTACCTCTTCAATCAAATAACAAAAGGAAAAACCCAAGAAGTTTGACTTTAAAAAAAAAAGAAAAAAGAACCATCATATATACAAGTGTATATACATATATATATATATATACACACACACATATATATACACATATATACATATATATATATATTTGGAATAATGTAGATTGTTTTTGTTTCCCAACAAACATTCATTTTATATGAATCGCATTGAAATCTGAGACGCAGGTGATGATAAACATGTCTGTAACCATTCACCATGCTGCCACTTTGAGTTTCACGCCATGTGAAAGATAAACATAGTGTCCCTGTCCATTAAACACCTGTTGTTCCCATAACCAGAACATTTGCGATGGTACTTTTCCCAATGAATCATGTCGCTAAAGAGGCCAAGACTAGGCTCATCACTTTGAAGCATTCCTAAATCAAATCTGTGCAAAAGTTAATGTTGATTGAACAAAATAACACAAACAATAACCAAAGCAGGACTATACGGTCAACAGAAAAGAGCAAGTTCAGCCCGTTCGTCATCCACACACCAGGTGCCGTAAATACCTGACCACATCCATGTGATAATTGAATGATATACAACTGTGTGTGGTTAAAACAAATAAGTATAATACCAGGAATAATAAGCAACAGCAAAAATGTAATAGTACATCAATATTATTTACTAAATGTATTTATGATATTTTTTAAAAGGTGTAGAAATAATTCCTTTGATTAACCCCTGGAGCGACCAGTGTGAATATGTAACATTCATGACAATAAAGGTTAGAAAAAAGGACTTCTGTTCACACACATATACAAGTGTACATCTGTGTCTTTATTGTTGTCAAAGGCATGTTAACAAAACAGGTGAACACGTAACATCTCAGTTGCTAAGGACAAGTTGTGCGAGATGCACAAACTGAGGGAAAAGTTGATGAACACTTCCTATCATTCCACCTCCCTGACCAGTTGTTGTGTACACAGTCTTCACCTCTATGGTTGTTTGGTTCTCCTTTATTCCAAAAGAAAAACTTGGCTACACACCCATCAGACCACATCCATCTTCCTTCTTTGTGGATGTCACTGAGTCCGATCCATGTTGGTCCCTGAGCAAGGTCAACGTTTTTGATCAGGAGTTTGACAAAATCCTCTTCCCCTCTACTGTGGATAGACACCAGGTTGCCTCCCTGGGACAGACAGTGGAACTCTGCATCAGCCCAGGTCATCTTTGTGGCGATGTACTTGTAGCAGCGGCCGTAGAAGGAGAACCAGAATGAGGGACAGCTGCCACGCTTAAGCTCCATTGGACGCTCATCTGAAGAAGACACAGCACCCAGAGCCAGGCCCAACAGGAAGAGGAAAACCAGCATGATGATGTCACCGTCTCTGTCTGTTAAAGTTGCACTGAACCGTTGATGGAGATTGTGAAGCTTCAAGTGACAGGCTGCTTCTTTATATATGTGTGGGAATGTGACGTCATTGTCACGTGACGTGATCACATGACCGGTGACCGATAAAATGTAAGTTATAAAAGTTTTGCCGGCAGTTTCAGAAAACCTTTATCTCTTGGCTGCTGGACGCTCACCGTTATCTCCCTCAAGGTAGGACTCGCGGTTTTAAGGTGGTTATATGGTCTTTTAAATTAACCTATGGAAGTGTCTCAGTTCAGTTTGGATTTTATTAGGGCGAGGGCAAGATACGTTTTCCCATCATGGAGGGAAACTCTTCAGACATTCAAAGCACGAGACCTGGTCTGTTACAAACAATGTGTTTTCAATATGGTGTTTTAGTAACAGTTTTAAGCAACTTGTATGTGTTTTGCACAGTGTAGAAGTGCTCATAACCAGCCAAGCAACCCGGGAAACTGGCAATGGACGTTTGTTAACTTTATTCTAGCTTTTATTATTTATAACATCTGTTTTTGTGTTTAATAGAGCTGAGTATGACCGTTTCCCCTCCTGGATTGAGCCAGGAGGATCTATTGCTCTGTAAAAGTAAGCCTGGTTTTTAACCTTCTTTTAATGTTATATTGAATTGGTGTTTGAGCTGGCAACTATTATGTTGCGTTTGTTTAAAAAAAAAAAAACTACTGTCCTCTAGTGCTTTTTTTGTTTTATTTTCTGTCAATTGTTTTCTTGTGTGCAGATTGTGGGCAATATAATTGACTAAGTGTTTGTGTTACAGGTTCCTCTCCTCTCCCTCTGTGGGGGAACCTTGTCTGCGTAGTGTCAGTGGAGGGACTGCACGGTGGGACACTTTAAAAGGGTGAGTAAACTAACTCTCACTGTAATCATTTTGTAGGAGTTGTGCTTTGAGTAGTGCATGCTTTTGTTCTGTTTTTGTCCCTGACAGTTTGCAGGCATTGTGACCTAGTGGACCAGACCTGCCCATCTGAGGAGGGTAAACCCACAATGTAATAGTGTAAAGTATGTTCACCCTCTAACCCGTTGACAGCTGCTGAACATTGACATTTTAACATGTATATTTGTGAAATAAAGCTGCATTCTATTTGGTCATTCATGCCTCTGTCATTGTCCTTGTGAAGGGAAGCCCCAACATCTGCAAAACAACTTTGGATTTAGATTGAGGGTCCACAGGTTCCTCCATCCCCTTAACAGGAGTTGGTGTTGTCAGCTATTTAAAGGTGACCCCAGCCACAGTTACCACATATGCATCAGAGAGGGTGTTTTCACTGTTGGCCTAATATATTATTGGTCAACTGAACTTGGCAACACTAAACACAACCACACCTTAACATAAGCAAAAACAGACTACCTGCTCACCTGGAGATGTCGCACTAAACCTTCTATACATTTTTTTACAAGGAGTAAATGATATTAAATCAAATGTTGGGAGTGCTAAACATTGCCAGACCAAAACAAATGTTCTTTACAATCTCCAGAAGATGTTGGTCGGGAGGGATAATGGTCTGTTTTTAAAACGCTTTATAGCAAGTGAAGACCAAGATGCCCATCACACTAAAGGTTTGTAAACATTTAATTGAGCCACCACATTACCACAAATAATTCCCAGCTTGTGCAAAATGATGAACATTAGGCAAAAAAGACCATAAGCTTGTGTGGATATATCGTATAAAACATAATTTATTCATTTCAGGGGAGACTTATTGCTTTGTGTCTCGTTTTACTTTTCATTCACAACTGATCGTCGCACTGACTTGCTCCTCTGCTGCCCTCCAGTGGCCACAAGGCACAACAGGTACTTTTACATTACAGCATGTAGCTCCAAACCACAAAAGTATTTCCTTCAGAAAATGCACTTCACTAAAGCTCTAAACATGGCACATGAACCTGTCACCGCAACACAAATATAAACTATATACAATAAAATCAGGAATATAGTAGCTACAATATGAATGCTCTACAGTGAGCAGAGATGTATTTTTATGTGTGGGCATAATGTACAGGGTAATAGTCAAATGACTGCCACAAGGCCTTTCTATGACACTGAATAGGAACAGATCACAGCTCTGATTTAGTAGATCTTGCTGACCAACAATTGCTGAATACTGTAGGTTTAACAAAAATAATCTTTAAAATTAGACTATGTTTCTCAGAATAAAGAAAAATGCACTTTTCTATAACTTAGAGGCTGCACTGTCTGCTGTTCAGCAACAGTTAAGGAGACTGGCTTTAAAGGGGAGATGTGCTGTCAAAGTGCATGAATAATGCATTGTTTCCTTAAAGTGAACCATTATGTTGCATATATCTCAAACACAAAAAGGACTTTCATACACAGTAAGTGTACATCTGTGCCTTGTGGCCAAAGGCACGTTAACAGAGTAACAGTGACCTGGTTCAATAAGATGTCATATCTCAGTTGCTAAGCACAAGCTATGCCAGATGCACAAACTGAGTGATAAGAATAATAATGGAAATCATTCCATTTGTGATCAAAACCGTAGTTGGTGTGGACAGTCTTCATTTCCATCATTGTTGGGCTCTCCTGAACTCTAAGAGACAAAGATAATGAACCCTAAATTGTTCCTGATTGCATGGCGATCAGTGTGAGTGTGAATCTTGTTCTCCCTTAGCAGGTGCATGCACTATATGAATGTGTGTATCCTGCTCTTCAACTTGACTTATGTCAAAGTAATTTGAGGGGTCACAAGAGTGGAAAAGTGCTATATAAATGCTGCCAATTTACCATATACACTATTTCTATCTCCTTCCCTCCTTCCTTTCCATGATCTTTGAACTGAAGCTGATACTCTAGTTTTGGGTTATTTCGGGAGCTTAAACTTGTAATACTGTTGTTCAGGGTGTGGTCCGTTTGCATTTGTCGACAATACACAGGATTGTGCACTCTAAACCCGGATTTTATTGAAATTAAAATGTTAAGCTGTCATTAATAATGCTGTTCATGTTTTGTAAAAAGACTGTCATTACTAAAGCAAATTAGTTTGCACTATTTAGCTGAAATGTGCATTGCAATAATCCTGTTAAACGGATAATTCAGTGTGTTACGTTTCTGCAAGAGAGGGTAGGGGCTCCACACACAGCATGAGTGCTGCACTGCACGCAGTCAGAGGTGAAGACCGAGGAGCCCGCTAATTGTGCTGCGTCTGGTCCGACCGAATTTTGAAAATAACTTTACGTGGAATGGTGAGTTTGAAAACATCTATATCTATCTGTAGATATCTTTCCGTCAAAAATGTATTAGCTAAGAGACCTGCTCACAACAAGTTAGCTTAGCGCTAAAGCTGCACGTGGTTTAGCTAACATTACTTAACGGCTGATCATATCAATCAATCAATCAATCAATGTTTATTTATATAGCCCAATATCACAAATGTTACATTTGTCTCAGTGGTGTTGATAATTTGTGATCTTCTCGCTCCCAGGAAAGAAACTTAAAATAACGAGACTAATGGAGTCTCTGAAAAGGTTCAAATGGGTAGTTTAATTAAGTAACGTGGTTAAAGAACAAGCATGGTGAATGGAGAGACAAAGCCGGTGTTGTCTTGAGGGTGGCTGCAGCGAAGGGAAGAGAGCGAGTCGTTGTCCGTCATCTGTTTTTATCCTCCTCTCGTTGTCTCCCGCTGTGCAGATAGTGGGTACGCCCTTCTCATCTGTTTTGGTTCGATATCGCGAGAGTACAGATGATTTCGACATTCTGTATTCCCTGTCTACTTCCTTAAGCCTTTTCTCTTCCTTATGTCTTTCATGACTTTCTATTTAATCCCTTATAAACAGCTGTAAGTTAGTTTAAAACATTGTTCGCGACATGCTACGTACTGACCGGATATGAAGGATTTTCAGAATAAAAGCTTGGCATTGAGACTTTGTGAACTTCCGGGTTTTTTCACAATAAAACAGTTTTTAAAACTGACGATATATTTTAGTCTGAATTATGCTGTTTAACATTGATTTTAATTTCTAACAATCCCTCCTTTCACACCTTTTAAGGTGTGAACACAATACTAAAAGTAATGAGTTCTTCATCTGACTGCTTTTAAACTGACGGTATGTTTTAGACTAAATCATGCCATAAAACATTGATTTTAATTTCTAACAGTGGACTTCACAGTTTGTACAGAATATCAGTATGACAATACGACACCCTCTGTCCTTAGACCCTCATATGGTAACTAAACCGATTTAAAATGGCTTTTCATAAGGTTGCATGAGGCGGCCACTGCACAGAAACCACCTGGCCTTAAGTGAGGACACAAAAGATCTGGGGTGTTTCTCAATCGCTAGTAAAGCTGCTTCAGAGCCACTATTTCAAGCATACTACGTCATCGAGTGCCGCCGAAGTACTGTTCCAATCTCCAGTATACTTGGAAATCTACCGAGCCCGGCGTACTCCGTTTGGAGAAATATCGAGTGTGCACATGAGTAGACTTCGCGGTCTTAAAATCCCCACAATGCTTTGCGCACGGACCAATTTCCCCAAATCTGTGGCGGAAGATGTAAGCGGGGCCTCTCATATGACGCACACCTGCACACTTGCTAGCGTGTTCCACACTTCGTTTTCCGAATGCCAGGAAGTATTCTTGACTCGCTTCTGAAGCAAGATGCTCGGCAGACATGTGCTACCAAGCAAGCGTACTCGCGATTGAGAAACACCCCTGGTTTGCCCAAAACCAGTTGTGGCTCGTCCGTGAACGATGACGTGATGTGGGCAGGTAGTTTGTATGACTGCACATGACTGTGTTTAAATATGTATTAACTGTTTAAAAATATTATAAATTCTTACTGTAACTTCAATTACATAGAACATTATATAGTATGCAAGACAGATGTTGTACAGTTGTTCATTATGTACATAAAAAAGTGGAAAGATCAAAACAAAAAGAAAACTTTTATTTATTTTTATTGATTAAAAAGAAAGTGGAAGTTATGAATCGATTCTTACATGAATCGATTTTTTCCCCACCCCTATTATATATTACATATGTAGGCCCTACAGTATACTTGTTTGTATGTTATCAATTGTATTCCATACATGTTCATTTAGACTTGACTGTTAATAAATGTGTTTTAATCCATGTGAAAAATATGAATTATTATCTTTAATGCCATTTTTCTCAAATATAACGTTTGATGACACTCAAACTTTGGAAGAGCATATCTTCTATGCCGATATTTAGCGTAGAAGATAATGTTGGTATTGCCATAAAGCTGGGACTTTCCTCTTTACATACAGCAAACTCAAAATGTGTTCCTGGGTCGATGTGACTCAAAATGATGGAGCAGGTCACATATGTACCTTGTTAATACAAAAAAAAGTATAAAATTTAAAAAAATTTAAGTATTTTGAATGACAATCTAGAATGTGGGCCGGCGGCCGCCACTGACAAGGGTCATAACTGCTAAAGTGGCTCTCATCAGACAGAGTAACACAGAAGCCTATTTGCTTAAAGTTCTTATTGTCACCAGGACAGCAGTGTGGGTAGTTTGTTACAACATCCTTGAACATATCCAAAGTGTCATGGGGAAAAAAACAGGACAAAATCCTGCCTTTTATCGATCATAAAACATTCAACAGATATCTGTCTTGTTTTTCCAGACTGGTTGGGATGTTCCCCAAGTACATCACACTGAAACTAAAGTCGAGTTCTGAGCTGATTATCCTCCTTGGGGATCCTAAGAGACGGTTTAAGCGAATATCAGAGGGCTGTTAAATGTGCAAAAACACATTTTATTTCAAATCTTGTGTCCAACAACAGAAATAGGCCCCAGTTCCTTTTTACCACTCTTAATCGACTTTTAAATCCCTGTAACTGTCCCTGTGTTGTGCCATCACCTACTCTATGTGAAAAGTTCCTTTCATTTTTTAATGATAAAGTCTTGGCCATCAGATCTTCACCTCCTCCTCTCACCTTAGACCCAGCTGTGTCTCCTGTGTGCTCAGTCAGGAGACAAGTCTTCGAGCAGTTTGACCTGGTTTCACTGACCGAGTTATCTGATGTGGTTAAAAAATTGAAACCTTCACAATACCCCTTAGACAGTATTCCTCCCAGACTACTCAAAGACGTTTTTAATACTATTGGGTCATACATTTTAACTTTGATAAATATCTCTCTCACCTCAGGCTGTGTTCCAACCTTTTTTAAACACGCTGTAGTGCAGCCTCTTATCAAAAAACAGAACCTTGATCATTCTGTTCTCTCCAACTTTAGACCTATTTCTAAGCTTCCCTTCCTGTCTAAAGTCCTAGAGAAAGTGGTTTTAGCGCAACTGCAGTCGCACCTTGATTTTAACTGCATATCAGAAAAGTTTCAGTCAGGTTTTAAATCACGCCACAGCACAGAAACTGCTCTCCTGAGAGTTTTTAATGATCTTTTAACTGCTGATTCTGGGAATTCTGCTGTGCTAGTGCTTTTGGATTTGTGTGCTGCTTTTGATACCATTGACCACCAAATTATTTTATCACGCCTTGGACTGTGTGTTGGTATTAAAGGTAACGTCCTAAAATAGTTTCAATCACATCTGTCAGGAAGGACTTTTTCTGTGCATCTTGGCCAGTATTCTTCAGCTGCAGCCCCACTTGGATATGGGGTCTCTCAAGGCTCTATCCTAGGCCCCATTTTGTTCAGTCTGTATTTACTACCTCTGGGGTCAATTTTTAAAAAGCATAACATTTCGTACCATTGCTTTGCAGATGATTTGCAGGTATATCTGCCTATAAAAGCAAATAATGAATCTAGGAAGGCCTTGCTTAGCTGTCTGAAAGACATTAAATCATGGATGGAAATCAACTCAACGAAAACAAGACAGATATTTTAATATTTGGACAGTCTGAACTCCTGGATGGCTTTAATAGTGTACTCGGCCCCCTAGCCTCCTACAGCCGTCCCTCTGTCAGAAATCTTGGAGTCATCTTTGACAACTGTTTTAAATTTGACAAACATAAGCTCAGTTTTCAAGACTAACTTCTTCCAGCTGCGGCTTCTGGGGAAGGTAAAGGCCTATCTTCCTAGTAAGGAATTTTAACAGCTAATCCACCATTTATAACGCCTCGTTTAGACTATTGTAACTCCCTGTATATTGGTGTTGATACATTTTTGATCCGTCGCCTGCAGCTGGTCCAAAATGCGGCTGCACGCCTTCTTACCGGGAAGAGACGATATGACATCACTCCTGTTTTGAGTGGCCAAAACACAGAGGCCAAAACAGGAGTGATGTCATATCGTCTCTTCCCGGTAAGAAGGCGTGCAGCCGCATTTTGGACCAGCTGAGCCAAAACAGGAGTGATGTCATATCGTCTCATCCCGGTAAGAAGGCGTGCAGCCGCATTTTGGACCAGCTGAGCCAAAACAGGAGTGATGTCATATTGTCTCTTCCCGGTAAGAAGGCGTGCAGCCGCATTTTGGACCAGCTGAGCCAAAACAGGAGTGATGTCATATCGTCTCTTCCCGGTAAGAAGGCGTGCAGCCGCATTTTTGGATCAGCTGCATGCAACGGATCAAACACTTATCAATTGGCTTCCTGTCAGTTAAAGGATCCAGTTCAAGTATTTACTTGTTGTTTTTAAATCATTGCATGGACTGGCACCACATTACCTGTCTGAGTTGTTGCACCCCCCTGCTCCAGCTAGAGCATTGCGCTCAGCTCAGCAGAATATGTTGGTGGTTCCTCGGTGCAGGAAAAAACCCAGAGGTGACAGGGCTTTCAGTGTTGCAGCTCCCAGACTGTGGAACAGCCTCCCAGTACATATCCGGACTGCTGAGTCTATTGAACTTTTTAAATCTCAGCTAAAAACTCACCTCTTTGCACTGGCTTTTAATACTAGTTGAACATTACATTTGTATGTGTTTTTATATGTTTCTAGTTATTGTGCTTTTTATCATGTTTTTAATTATTGTTTTATTATTTTACTCCCATTGTGTTATTTTATATTGTATTTATTGCCTGTACATCACTTTGGTCAACTGAGGTTGTTTTAAATGTGCTATATAAATAAATAAAGATTGAGATTGATTATTGATCTAATCTCTTTTACTAGCTCTGGCCAATACAAATAAATACTACAGCAGTCCCAACAAATATGAAAGTGATCACCAGATTCATTTCCACACATTCTCCAGCATTGACCATCCCCACAGATTTTACTCTGTTACTTTTTAATCTTTGGGGTTATAAAGAACCTTAAAAAATGTTTCTCTCCAAATAGCAAATATATTTATATCAAAAATGTCTTTATGAACAGTTTGACTGCTCACAAAGACATTCCTCTTGGAGTTCCGGAGATATGCGCATGTGCAGGTGCTTTGGCGTAAGTGATTAAGAATGGAGTTCCCCAGAATGTTTTTAGCTTCCTACCTGGAAATGATTCCTCCGACACGTCACAAGATCAGACAGGTTGGATAATAGCTGCAGGCTGTTCACACACAGACACAGCAAACCTCAGCAGACCTACACATACGTTACCAACAGCAGGATCACAGGCAACCTTATCAACCTTAAAAGTAAGTATGATTAGAAAGAAACTGCTAGATGCATTTTTTTGATAAAGTAATGATAATATTTGATTTGATTTCTGACTGGTTTCTTTCTTCCTGTGCAGCAGGAAATATTGTTCTTCTGTTGAATGCCTTCACTCTGCTCCCAGTCTGCGCTCCACCTCACTACACCCTGCACCATGGTCGTACACGAGGAGAAGGAGTGTGTGGTGTGCTTCAACGAGTACTCTCGCAGCGACCGGGTCCCTCGGGTGCTGCACTGCGGACACACCTTCTGTGCACCCTGCCTGGAGCAGCTGTACCAGCTGAAGGGGTTCCTCTACTGTGTCTCCTGCCCCCTGTGCCGCTGGATCACCTGCACCAGGGCCAGCCTGACCCTGCCCGGAGCCCTGTGGGTCAACATGGAGATCTGGGACAAGATAGTGGAGGACAAGGTGAAGGAGAGGGTGACACCATCAGCCCCGATGGACGATTTAAGCTACACTGAGACACAACTCATCCAGTCCACACTGTAAGGGGACTCCGTTTTTATTCACATAGATTACACTTGTGTAATTTCATGTAGGCCTGTGTGATATGAAGAGAATCAACCTGATATCTAAACATACCTCTCTGTCACTCTCTTTAGCCCTGTTTCAGACCAGTCTGGTGGCAAGACCTTACTCAAGAGGATGTTTAGATGTATACGCAGGGCCGTCCCTCCCTACAGGCCGATCATGCAGACTGCGTGGGGCCTCACCTTGCTGAGCAGGTCTCATCTTGCGGAGGGAGCCTCAACTGAGCCTCAACTGAGCCGCACCTATGCGCTTATGCGGCGCAATTAGTGTGGCGCGTCGCGGTTTCGCCGCTGCGAGGCTCCACTAGCACCCCCCGTCGACACTCGCAAAACAGAGGGCCTCATCATATAACTTTGCGTGGGGCCTCAAGTTGGCCAGGGACGGCCCTGTGTATACGGCATCTCCGTTCCTCTTTACGTTCTAACTGAAGGGCCCATGGATGTATGGAAAGGAACCTGATGAATGTTGCAGGACTACATTAGGTTTGCAGCAGGACCACGGCTGTTACTGATGACATCAGAGGCCGTCCTGAGGAGCGAAGGACCTGATGAAGTATTTATAATTAGATTCTAAACTCAAACCAAACATTTAATTCGTTTTATTTGGTTGGTATTTGATTATGGTCAGGAAAATGTGTTTCATCATATTCTTGAAAATGTACAAACCATAAACCCAACTTTACTTTCGTTATGTCCTACATACAATCCTACCTGCATACATTTAAATATTGCACAAAAGCTGAAGCTGTGAACACTGAAACCTAATTTAATTAATTTAAATATGTAATTTATTTTATTTGTATTTTATTTGGTTTGTTTTTTATGTTGATCTGATTATTTTTTATGTTCTTTGCACTACACATCACATTTACATTGCTTTGTTAAAATGGTAAATCTGTGTAGTTTAGGTTTATTTGCACAATATAGAAATAAACAATATTATTATTTAAGTTATTTTTAAAGTTTTGATCTGTCATATTTTTTATTGTTCAAACTGTTTCTGTTTGTGAGATGAATAATAATGTTATAGTAGCCGAAGATTGTTTTTATTGTTATTTTATTTATTATGTTAATACTTTCTTCCACCTTTAAAGATTGTAATATTGTAATGCCTGTACACTTGCTTGTTGCTGCTGCAACAAATATTTTCCCCATTTTGGGGTCAATAAAGTATCTATCTTAAAAGTATCTCTTGATTCTCGTCCAGTGTTGATTTTTCTCTTTATTGGGTCTGGCTGTTTCAGACGGAAATCATAAATAGAAACGTTTTATACATTTTCCAAAAGTTATACATTAATGTTCGGCAGCCTCTGCTGTTAGTACTGTAAATCATTTTCAAAGATAGTGCCGCTGTGCAAAGAATGTTGTTTGAATTCTTTAACTTTATCTAAAGTGTAGTTATAATAAAACTTTAAAATTGTCGCTCAACTGTTTCACCAATAGCAACAATAGTTATTTTTAGTCTTTTTGATGGTTGATTTTAAACACTTAATATTTCACATTGTGAATTTTAAACAAGATACAATAGTTACACCCTTTCAAAAGTCATACATTAACTAATGCCATGGATAGTTTAAGGTTAATGTTGGAATCGGGGGAGGAGCAATAAAAACAGCCATTGTGAATTTGTGGTTATTTTTATTGAAAACTGACAGTGGATTATTTGAGCTGAAACCTTTTTTCCCTGAATTAGTTCTACCAAACAGCCTCTTAACTACACTATGTTAAGATGAAATACAGTTAAATATTCAGACATTACAACACAAAACTGATGCAAACACAACAGGGAACGATTTTCTAAAAAGCTTTCATAACCCACAGAAACCATCCCGAGGTTCACCTTGAATTAAAACATGGTGGCGGGAAAAGGCAAAAATCAGCTGTTTCCAGACGAGACCTGTGCCTGCTGTACACACTAGTAACTCGTATGTGAAGAGCTGTAATTCAAAATGTTATATTCAGACGCGAGTGAAATCAAAGGGGACATTTATGCACATATTCTGGGGTTAATACATCATGTACATTGAATGGACAGATCCACCTTTGACTTATAAGGGTCATAACTGTTAAAGTGGCTCTCATCAGACAGAGTAACACAGAAGCCTATTTGGTAAAAGATCTTATTTTCACCAGGACAGCAGTGTGGGTAGTTTGTTACAACTTCCTAGTGAACATATCCAAAGTGTCATGGGGAGAAAACAGGAAGAAATGCTGCCTTTATCGATCATAAAACATTTCAAACTGGCCATAAATCAGTTTTAGTAAATGAGCAGGTCCTACACAATCAGGATTCACAGATATAGAATATTATTCGGTCCACATAAAACTGGATTTTTTTAATATTTCAAGGAGAGTAAAGTAGGGAAGAAGGTTAATATTTTCATAAACAATTTAAAACAAAAGCTTTTCACATCGTTCCTGTGGATGGTTATCCCCCTCTGTACTTCAGTTATACATTCAGCACTCAGTTGATGCAGTTCAAAAAAAGAAGTTTCTATTGCATAAGGAGATGATTAATCTTGCCTAAACACTGTCACTACAATAACAGACCATCACATGTGCACTTAAATTAACATGTATCCATCACAGTTTGCACCACATCTTTTCTCTTATTCCACATCTTCTCTGACCTTCTTCCTCCTCCTTTCTCACACCGACAAAACATAATTTAGAACATAGTAAAAGACATATTTGTGAGTAATCAGACATAGGGTTAAGGTACAGTCATTAATACGTTCGCTAAAAAACACAGGGCCTCATTGGATTAGTGTGAAAACATTAAAACATGGGTCATGAGAAATGAATAATTGCAACTCTTTGTCAGCTAGCCCTTCACTAGCCGTGTGAGTCAGGCGTCTAAAAGCTCGCCTAAAGTGTCAGCTCGTGACAGGAGGATAATCTCTCTTCACACCACACCTCAAGATTATCAGGAGTAAAATACATTTACCACAATGCCATAATTATACATCTGGATAAGATGGGGATAAAATACGGGCTATAAACAATATTGTTAAAGGGAAAATAAACCAATATAATGTCAAATAATACCATTTAAAAAAACGACCCGAAAGAGGGATAATGAGTCGACGGAGAGACGCCGCCTTAGAGTCAGAAGCAGCAAACAACAGTTATTCTACTAGAGATACAGTTTGAACTCCCTTTGTCATAGTATGTGGGAAGTAGATTTTTTTCTGTGTTAAAAGTGTGTGTGCCCCCCTATAGGTAGGGGTACTGTGTGAGGCGCCGGGGGCTCAGCTGGTAGGCGCTGTAGGCCTCGGCGCGGGGGGTCACGCTGACGTACGGAGAGCCGGCGGCAAACGGGTGCTGGTAGGCTGCGGGCAGGCCGTGCAGCAGGCTGCTGACCGAGTCCTTCCGCCCGGACGGGTCCCTCCTGGAGGACGCTGAGGTGTACGGTGCTGCATAGGCGGAGGGGGAGTGTCCGTGGGGGGCGTGGCCGCGGCTCAGCAGCTGCTCCATGGCCTGAGAGGCAGAGGAGAGGGCCGTGGAGGCGGGGTAGGCGTACAGGCCGGGGCCGGACACCTCGGGGAAGTTGTAGTGAGACGAGACGACCGGAGGGAAGGTCGGCTGGCGGCGCAGAGACGAGTCGCTGTGGGAGCGCTCCTGAGAGGAAGAGACCACCGGCTGGACCTGAGGAGGAGCACAGAGGCATGAGAGCAACGAGGAGGAGGAGAACATCAGCTGTGAGAGCATGTTGTCTGTGCATGGACTACGTTTAAATGTTTGCTATGTTTTTATTAATACTGTTTATCATTATGTATTTGTTCATATTCATTTTAGTGTGTTTCATTTCTCAATGCTCTTCTCATGTGATCTACCTTGCCTGGTTTTATTTCCTTTTGTAAAGCACTTTGTTAAATTGTTCAATGGAATTTCTATATAATAATACATTTGCAAATAATTTCAAACAGTCTTTAAGTTTTCCAGGGAAGATATCTGACAACATTTTCAGACAAGGCCTAACGTGCATGAATGACTCTACAGCAAAGTCTTTTAAAATATTCGCCCGCCCCGCCCTATTCCCAACACCCCTGTTTCGCATAAGCACTTGAGTCACTTCCGATTGACGACTCAGAGCAACCCGTGATTTCTTTTCTTTTGGGATTATGACTGCCGTTTCTTTGTGTCTACAGATGTCAACATCAATCACCTGTTGACATAGTGAGCAAATGCAGGTTTTTTTTTACCAGTGAACCTGCAGTAGTGATATTTATTGATTGATATGTTATTGGTGGCAGTGTTTGCAAAGGAACACCTGTTCACATCTAGTGCCGACAGCATAGTTTACCTCCTGGGTTCGGCAAATAAATCTAATTCTTTACCAACATCTCACGGCAGTTTAATTAAAAAATAAAACTTTACAAGACAGTGAGGAATGTTGTAAAAACATTACCTGACTCAGGTTTAAAGGGTGTGACTGGCTCGGCAGCAGCCTGTTCCGCTCCATGCTCTCCCCGGAGCTGCAGGGCTGCCGGTTGGATGATCTCTTCGGCTTTATGTAGTTCACTGGAAATTAAATAAATGAGTTATCAAGTTGGGTCAGTCACATCCTAAATAAAACGCATGGTGACACAAACGGATAAAGTTCTCACCAGTGTCCAGGCGTCCACGTGAAGCAGCTCCTCGCTCCGTGCCCTGGGTTTTGACTGAAGGCGCCACCACTGCCAGAGACTTGGCCTGGCGAGACGACGCGCCGCCCGCTGGGTTCAGCGTGCGGGGGAGGGGGGTCAGGGGGCTCGCTGTGGACGAGTCCGAGTCGTGCACCGTCACACAGCTGATGACGTTAGTGCGCTGGCTCAGGCCGATGCTATGTACATGGAGAAACAATGTTATTTTATAAGAAAATTAAAGAAGGTTTATTTAATGTGGACCTATCATGCTATATTTGAATAATATAGTGTAGGACCATACCTATATAAGGCATATTTATACTTTTTCTTTTTCAAAATACCAAACAGATCATGCATTTTAGCCATGCCTCATTTTGCTCAATTTGAAAAATGTTAGCTCTGTTTTTGCAAGGGCAGATTCTGTGAGAACAGCACCATCTACTGGCCTGGCATATGTACTACAGCGCTTTCGAACGGCAATGGCCGTGGCTGTCTCCTCCTGATTGGTGGAGTTGGCCCAATAGCCGTAGCGCCACCGTCCTGACGTCAGGACAGTGTTCAAATCTGGATCAGTTTTTATCAGATCCGTTGCAGCCCCTTTTTTAGAGATTTGAGTATGGAGGAAAATAGAGAGGGTTGTGTTTTCTGACACTTGGTGAGTTCCCTGGAACACCGGGGACACATATTCATGTTTAAAAGACGTACAAAAGTGCATTTTGCATGATAGGTCCCCTTTAAGTATTACAAATACAAAACAATAAGGCCCTGGTCTGCTAATGAAGTCAAACAAACATCGTCTTACATTAGTCCTTTTTTAGAAAATGGTCAAAATATAGTACCAAGAAGAATTGGATTAGCAGCTGCATCCAAAAAGATGGCAGACATTAAGATCCTTCTTAATACAAATTCTCCTTTTATGTGCTCGGTTAAAAATAAGAAGATAAATAAAAAGAGTGAATGGTGCAGAGGCGAGACTCACCTGGCGGGATGAAACTTGCGCTCATCCTCGGTGTCCGTGTCGCTGTGGATGGTGATGATGCTGACAGCTGGGCTGGGTGTGTCGGAGATGACTATGGGCTGCGACCACGCAGCGCTGAGCGGGGGCACACCGCTGCTGCTGAGCAATGACACGGCAGATGTACCCCTAGGAAGAGAAACAATAGAAAAGTTGAGTTTTCCCACCAAAAGCAAACATGGTTTCAGCAGTAACGGCAAAAGAATGTAATCCGTAATCTACGATTAAATATACAGAGTATTTTCACTGCTCCTTTTCATTAATCAATGGTTGTTGTGTTCACATCTAGTGACAAATAAACTAACTACTGCTAAGGAATTTGTAATTAAATGAGTCAACTTCTCAGAAGCCACTTTAAGGGATAACATCTGCTGGTACTGGATGTGATAGTTATTTTTAGGCATTTGTCATTAAGCGTGAAAGTTGAGATGCTGCAGGCTCCACCAACCTGTTCCTGTTCTCTCCCCGTCTGGCCTTCACCTTCTTCCTCTCCTGCTGGCTGCGGCCCTGGGCTGTATTCCTGCGAGGGCCAAAGTTCAAACAAGTTAAAGGGAGGGGCATCATGATATATGAACACAAGGAGATCATGTTTGTTTCAACTGACGCAGCTTTACTTCCCTCACTTTGCTCTGTTATTACAGCAAACATTTGCAGTGACTTATGTACTTACTATAATGCATACACTGTAAGCCCCAGAGTTGGGGCTTAAAAATACTATGTCTAGTACTTAAAGTGGACCTATCATGCTATATTTGAATAATATAGTGTAGGACCATACCTATATAAGGCATATTTATACTTTAAAAAAAAAAAAATACCAAACAGATCATGCATTTTAGCCATGCCTCATTTTGCTCAATTTGACAATTTCTAGCTCTGTTTTAGCAAGGGCAGATTCTGTGAGCAACAGCACCATCTACAGGCCTGGCATATGTACTACAACGTCTCCAGCGCTTTCGAACGGCAATGGCCGTGGCTGTCTCCTCCTGATTGGTGGAGTTGGCCCAATAGCCGTAGCGCCACCGTCCTGACGTCAGGACAGTGTTTAAATCTGGATCAGTTTTTATCAGATCCGTTGCAGCCCCTTTTTTAGAGATTTGGGTATGGAGGAAAATAGAGAGGGTTGTGTTTTCTGACACTTGGTGAGTTCCCTGGAACACCGGGGACACATATTCATGTATAAAAGACGTACAAAAGTGCATTTTGCATGATAGGTCCCCTTTAAGTAAAAGTGGAAGTACCAGAGTGTAAGAAGAGTACACAGTACAAGTACATATCCTGTTTTGCAAATGTTACTCAAGTAAAAGTACAAAATAATTGGCATCAAAACATTTTCTAAGTACCAAAAGTAAAAGTACTCAGAATAATATATATCATATGTTTTGATAATAATTATTGATGCATTCAAGTGTTATCAAAGCAGGTCACTAGTTTTAATGATGTTATACTGCAGGGTAGACAGGATGTAAAGTCTAACTTAAAGTCTTATTTAACTGTCGATTACATGTCGCATTATTAATCCAAATCTGCAAATTAAGCGAAGGTATTAAATAAGTGTAGTGGAGTAAAAGTACCAGATTTGCCTCTGAATCTGAATGGCAGTTAGCAGAAGTACAAAGAAGCAAAAGATGGGAACTATACAGGAAGTAGTACAAGTACAGTACTTGAGTAAATCTACTTAGTTACTTTAAAACACTGGTAACCCCTTGATTAAAAAGGCGCTCCAATGTATTTGTTGTGACATTCAAATGAATGACGAGCGTCTCAAATATGTAAAGCTATAAGTTGGTAGTTCATAATTGTAAAACAAGAATGAGACTGTTCAGACTGATGAGTGGTGGACCGACCTCCAGCTGTGTCCCTGCTGCGCGGCAGCTTCTGAGTGAAGTGTTTCCAGGGGGGACTCGGGGACAGTGGACTGGTGGGCGGAGCTGTGGATGGCCACGCCCGGGACCTGCTGCCATGACGACGGGATGAGGATCTGCTGCGTGCCAGTGGGCCAGGCCTGCTGAGAGAAACAACAGACGCTCACACTTCAGTACATCTACCATCAACGATCGGATATTAATGCGTAAACACAACTTATGTGATCGCTGGAATGGGCCAGACAGACTGAGCCATGCTGAGAAACAAGTCCAAACAACAAATGTCTTCCGCAGGCATAAGCACAGATAGATAAGCGAGCAACTTTTCCCAAGCCATTCCCTTAATAAAGCATTGCCCTGCAACACAAATGGACGAGATGATATCATGCAAAGCCCAAACAATGAAGCACTGTAAACAGTCAGACGGGGGATAAAGACAAGAATACACAGGAGCACGGTGCCTGTTAAAGAAGAAACACTGAAGAAAGAGATTAGTTCAGTCCACTGATGCCACACAGTCTGCTGATAAGCTGTGTGGGGAGAAGGCATGCCACATGTTCGGGGGCTGAAACAAAAGATGCGTGTCAGAGAGTCGGGGGGGCTTTAGTGGGCTTTGTAGCTGCAACCTCCTTTGCTGTAAACAAGGAAGGACGGGACAAGGGAAGCTGCAAGCAAAGCGCAGACCAACGCAGCAACACATGCTCCATGCCCTCAGCACACCTATGGGGAGAGACTGGGGAGGGGAGGAGTGAATGGTATGGGGAGGGGTTGTCCTTTGGAATGGATAATAAACGATTAGTCAATTCTGATTTAATGTCAAAAGGGGATTTGAAAAAAGTATAAAAAGGACTGGTGAGTCCAGGGTCAACATTTTTTGAATTTTCCGACAAAATACGAACCAAGCGACCATAAGTCTGACAACAAGTCTTCATGTGACTATGGCAAAATAAAAGGTGAAAAAAAGAGTAGCCGAACACGACATGTGGCACAGAGGAGGAGGGAACAAAGCAAACATTAATGAAGAAAGTAGGAGTGGGGCAGGATAGAGATGGCTTTGTTAGTTGTAGTGTGCATGTGTGTGTTTCTTCTTTGTTGCTTTACCAGCACTGTGGCTGTGTGCTCCAGGAGGGTGGGCCGACCCACCCCGCCTCCAAGCCCGAGGGGCAGGGAGTACTGGGGTGCTATGCCTGCTGAGGGTGGGTGCAGCGTGGCCACCATCAGGGGGGTGCAGGAACCCTGGAGGAGGGAGGGAGGAAGGGAGGGGGGATAGGGGAGGGCTGCGTTAGGTCCTTCAAAAAGGCTGAATCTGAAGAGAAACACACTGGCACCACGGGCCGACCGGACCCCTGACCTCTGCAGTGGGCAGACCATAATCCTACGTTTAGCAAATCACAATTAAACAGCTTTTGGAGCCTCCTGCATTAAACATCTGGCCACCATCCCAGAGAGGACACTGGGAATAAGAGAGGCCTGGTCCTGGAACAAAGGCTATGCTTTTGAAGTCACATCTTTTGTCATTTCAAAGGTTAATGGTATAAATGCAATTAAATAAACAAGGTCTCCACTGAAAGCAAACCGTATATCTGAAGAAAATGTATACATTTGCAAATCCTACAACCTGCCCATGTCCCTCTCAAGCAGCCATACATGCATGCTTCCTCTGTCCATCTTTTTCAAAAGAAAGGGTGCCCGTACAAGCTTTGTGTCTCTTCTTGAAAGACTACATTTAAAGATAACATCATTAGCCCCAGACAGATATCTGAAATGTGACTGACCCTCCAGACTCTTACCTGTGTGAGCATACTGGGCTGGAGCTGCAACGCCTGAGCAGCCTGGTTCTGAGGTACTATGGGTACAGAGTTCTCCATCCTCACAGGGTAACTGGAGCTCTTACTGGATGCCTGTAGCCCTGAAAAACAATAAAATACAAGTGATTACAAAATAAATTAAAATGAAGGTAATGTCTCACAGCATTGAAGTATCCCTTAAAGAGTGGGATGTTGAGGTAAGCATCTTATTAACATTCATAATCTGCCTTCAACTATAGCAATAAGTAGATGTTAGTAGTGACAGCCTGACATCAAAATAACTGAAGTACAATCTGAGGAAACCCTTCTTCGTATTCAAATTGGAATAAATAACAGTGAGTGGCGTCTTCTGCTGCAACCCCTCATGTTGTGTTTTTCTCAGTCTGTTTGCAGCGTTCTCCTTTACCTTGGATAGTGGAGGGTGGGCAGACGATGAGGGTCTGCTGGAAGGGTTCAGTCTGGCTGCACAGCCCAGCAGCACGCGTTGGGATCGGGACGCTCTGCTGAGCGAGCCCGGGAATGTTAATGGTCGCCTGCTGGTACAGAGCGGGCTGGTAGTTCAGCAAAGGCACGGCCCCCCCCGCAGAAGGCACCTGGTGGAGGAATTACAGAAGACCACTGATTAAAGACAGAATGAGTGGCAACGTTCATTACATCACAAAAGGACTTTTTCAAGCACAATGTTGAGCCTAAAGAGACAACGTGATGTAATTGATATCTGTCTTTCTTAAAAACCAATTCAAAAACATATTCACATAATCCATTGACCAATTTGAACGTTATAGTGAAGCACTGTTTTGGGCTCAAATATTAAAACATGGCAGTTAAAATAAGGTTTTCAGGTTTTTCAAAAGTTAGAGTGATTCAACACAACATGACACGTCTTGAATGCACGGACAATACTGGCCTGATGGGTCAGTGGTGCGTGAGATAAGCTGCGGAGAGACACACACACACACCCTCACACCTGACCAAAAGCATTAGCGCCATCTGACAGACAACGCTGAGGGCTCAGACCCCACAACCAGTGCTTCTCAAGGTCATCTTGAAACACACTGCAGGGCATTCTCCCTCACAGTCCATCCTTAGTGAGTATTAGCTGCAGCTCTGTAATGTTTATTTTGTTGGAGAAAGTGCTTTTCTAATTTAATAGTATGTAAATGTGGCAGTGAGTAATTCACTAGAAACTGCCTCCCTATAGCATTAGTAACATACAAGTGAAAAGACTGATAATGGTAAAAAAGTAGTGGCGGTTCTAGAACATTTTACATGGGGTGGCAAAGGGGGGGCAAGAGCTCATGCCAGGGTGGCATGGGAGGGCGGACAGTACGTGGTATTTTATACTGTATAACCTATTTATTGTTAAATCATGCCCTAACACAAGTGTTCTTAATGCACAAGAGAAACAAGGTGTTCAGACAAACAAACTAAAATATAGTATAAAACAGCTCAATACATCATGATACCCTATTTCTGTTAACTGTAAGTACACTAAAAGTACTTCGTTATAATTAAGTAAACACATGACATCACCCATTTCTTAAGAGAGCTAAAGGTGACCTGTGCAGCAACACATTTCAATAAATATTTGTCAATACTAAGAGCCGCTAGATTGTGCTGCTGTAATGGAATATTACAGTGTGTGGTAGTGTTACCACTGAACAGGTCTCTCTTGAAAATGAGACCTTGTGTCTCAATGAGATTTTACACCTGTATAAATAAAGGCTAAATAAAAAAATAAATGTATGCAAGAAGAATAAAAACATACCATGTGGTCCAGCTGGAGTCTCATCTGCCTCCTGATCCCTGCCTCTGTCCCTCTTTCTGACACTTCCTCTTTATTCCTCACATACATTTATTCTTCTTCACTAATATCTTCATCTCCTCCTGGCTTCCTCCTGCTCTGACCCTCCTGGTCTCTTCATCTCTCTTTTCCTCTTTCTGTGCATCCTGATCACTTCTCAGATATGTATTTGTGTTGTTGTTGACTCACTCCAGCTACTCTGGCCTGCAATAGTCTACTGGTGAAAAGCACTGGTACAAATGCTTGTATAACTTTACACGTTAGGGCCATGTAGCTGATAAGTAGCATATCATAAATATAACATCTGAAAGTATTTACCAAGCGCACACAGGCAGCTGTGTTTAGACCCAGTTTGACGGTAAAGGATGTATCCTGGTTTCATTTATCTGGCCTCATTGCTGTGATGTGTAATGTACGTGGATTTAATAGTACCGCATAGTTTAGCAAATAAAGTGATCGATCTCGCAGCTAGCGCTGTCTGCGTAGTATTTTGTAACGTAACGCCCCAAACAGCGACCGTCTGTTAAACGCTATCGATTCAAACGGCAGCGTTTTATTAATATTTTGTTTCAAGCAAGCTCTCATCTTTAGTAAAAACAAAACCAGTCGAAGGGGAAATGCTCCCAGGGGAAGCTGATCCAACTTCAGGTGCTGGGACAGCTCGCTCCCTCTCTGCAGCGGTGCGAGCCGCGGTCTGTGAACGCCGCTCCGCAGTTTAATGCAGGGCCGTAGCTACGTTTTTAACGGGCCTAAAATGATATTTAAAATGATTCACTTTTAATGAATGAACTACTTGTTTCGTTGCTTGAGAAGCTTGTGGACACAGTGTAGGTTTGTTTCTACAAGTACAGTTTTAGGGACACAAAAGTTAGGGGGGCAGCTGGGATCCATAGATCCGCCCCTGTAAAAAAGCCATGACATATTTAGTTTTGGGCAAGAAAGGATGAGAGATGGTTGCGCCTCAGAAAAAGAAAAAGCTGAGCAAGATTTCCAATTCTGAGCAATTACATTTTTATGAGTTCAAGAACCAAACAAAATATTGGAAGGTGTTATGTGATGCGTTTGAATATTCAGGGACTTTTTTAGCCCTCACTAATTTCAACTACTACTGTTGTGTGGACCAGAGTTCCCGTTAGAATATTTTTTTGCCGGTCAACATGTCCGTTAAAGTTGAAATCTTCCGGACAAAATTAGATAAGTGCCGGTTAAAGGTCTTCTTTGTTATTTATTGAGCTTTAAAACAAATTGATATGATTCGACATTAAACAAACTAATTATAGTAGATTAACTACATTATTCAAAAGTGTACAGTAATTTACAAAAACGCGGGAATAATAAACGGAGCGCTCTCTCCTTCTCCTGACAGCCCGTCAGTATCATGCAGCTCGCGGATCCAGTAATGAGTGACCCGACAGTAAAACTAAACATATCTATAACTAGTTTAGGTAGTTTGAGAGGTAATTAAAATAGCTACGTGTGATTTTCTAACCTGAAGTGTGTTTTGCTCTGCTCGCCGCTGCAGGGGATCATGCAGAGCTGCGTGTCGACTCGTCAGCAGCAGCCGATCTCTCTCTCCTGTCAGATTAGACTTTACTCGCATTTATGTCCATATCGATCAGATCTAGCTAGTTCTAGCTAATGATATGACTACCTGCTTGTTAAAAGACACCTAAACAATAAGCGTCGCTATGCAACCGGATGAGGCCACAAAGTATAGCGCAGCATTATGCATTTGTTTACATGCCCACCGGAACCCCGAGGCATTACCAACAGATCAACGCACAATCAACCCATACAGGACATCTCTTTCTCCACATTAAGTGTTAGACATTAGAATTGACAATTTTTGTCTGTCACATACTCTTTTGTCTGTCACATACTATTCTTGTCTGTCACATAAGTGGCGCAACTGATGCGGTATTGCGCTAAGGGAAAATTATTTTGACCGGACATTTTGACCGGAGAGATTTAGATTTGCCGGACTTCAGCATATTTTACCGGTCATTGTCCGGTAATTACCGGCTAACGGGAACTCTGGTGTGGACCCTGTGAAGTGATTGGTCGTACCTGGTTATGCTGGTTGAGCTGGCTACTGAAGGTAACAGTGAGGTTGCCGGCGGCAGCGCTGGGCACTGCGCTGGTGGAGTACAAGGATTTGCTGCTATCGTAGGAGCTCCGGCGCTTACAGATCTCCATGTTCTGGAAGCAGGACTTCACACTGGAGAGGGTGGAGTAATAGTGTATGAGAAAAAACATTCAAGTAAAGAAAACATAATAGTGCAGCAGTGACTAAAAGAACATCTGCACATCACACATACTGTGAGCTGTGGGGGTAATCCATGAGGTGGCTCATGGTGACAAAGGGGTGACCCAGAGTCTTCGTTGGCGTGATCCTTTTGTCAGCATCTAGACGGAGCATCCGCTTCAGGAGGTCTATAAACTCTCGTCTATCAGCTTTCTCTGCCAACATGTCCGTGCCCTCCAAATGAGAAGACAGGTTGACCTGGAATACAAGAAATAAAACAACCAAATTAATCAGACAAATAATAAGAGTTAGAGGTAAAGACATTTCTTGGGTTTGAGAGCATAGTATTTTTATTTAAAAAGATGTTACTTGAAAAACTATTTACCTGCATCATGTCATCCAGACAGTTGAAGATATACTTCCTGGCCTCTTTGGACTTGATACCCATCTCCATTTCATGCTCTGACGAGGTCTGGCAAATATAAAAACATATTTTGTTTGTTATTATTTGCAAAAACTATATCGGAATCAGAATACCTTTAATAGTCCCACAGAGGCAAAATGTACATTGTTACAGCAAAAGTGAAGATTAACAATTAACATGAAGTGATATGGGTAACATTTTTTACATATTCAGTCATCTTCTGGTAACGGTGATCGATCAGTTACAGCCTTCAGATAGGGAGACACTAGGAATATTATGAGATCATATTAACCTTAAGCCTCCAGAGTGGGTAGCTGGAGTCAGGTCCTCGATTGAAAAAGCGGCTGGTCTTTGTCCCCGCGCTCAGCAGGTACTCTGCAGGCAGGCCTTGGGTCTGAGAAATGTAACGGATCTGGAGAAGGGAAAACATATTCAAGTATAAGACACACCAATAAAACACACCAGTAAGTGCCATGGATACGACTAGTGGGTAGTTATGCTTGTTTCTCAGCAGCACGTTGGTATCTCCTGATTTATAGCAAAACTAGCAGCTCTAGGAGTTTCTAAAGTACATATACAGTACTTCCATGACACGCCATCAACTAAAAACTTGTAGCCTCTTGCAGGCATTCTTTGTTGCCCAGATAAGGCCTGGGGAACTCTAACGTCGGTACTGACCTGGTCATACTCAGAGGCCCCCGGGTAGAGAGGCCAACCCAGAAACAGCTCAGCAATCACACAGCCCAGAGACCACATGTCGATGGCCTCACAGAATGGCAGACCCAAAATTATCTCTGGAGCCCTAGACAGTGAAGAGGAGGTTAACCAATTAGTACCAAGACTTGAGCTACAATGTTGTGTCATAGTAACATGGCAAAAGTATTTAGATGTATTGGAAGAAAGTGGATTTATTCGCACGAACCTGTAGTAGCGCGACTGTAAGTAGGTCGAGCAGACAGCTTTGGACACATGACTCGCTGAGCCAAAGTCAATGACCTTCACCCTGTAGGGCTGTCTGAGGGGGTCCACCAGCATGATGTTCTCTGGCTTCAGGTCTGCATGAATCAGACCGAGGCTTTTCAGCTTCATCAGCGCTGTAGCCACCTAAAGACAATAAAAAAAACAGTACAATTAATTCACCTACGTAAGAATGAAAGGCGCATATCTGCAACTCACAATTAAGTAATAATAATAATGGGTTATAAAAAGGTGTAATGAATGTCTGCCCAGCTCACCTGCTGTAGGATGGGTCTGATGTGCCGCAGGGGGAGGGGGCTGAACTTGCTGTGTTTGAGAAAGTCGTACAGGTTCTGCTCCAGCATCTCAAACACCAGGCACGTGTGACCCTTGTGTTGGAAGCATTCGTATGAACGCACAAAGTTGTACTCATCTGCGTTCTCTGCGCTGAGCCGGTTCAGGATACCCACCTGTTGGAAGAGATACAAATAACCCTGTTTAATTTGTCAATTATAGCTGGTTCACTTTCATAACAAGAAAATGAAAGTGAAAGTGTGAGGAAGGGCACAATAATGCTGTGGTACGGAGGTCAGTTACAAGTTTCATTTAACCAGTTTGCTCTAAAATGATTGATAATGTTGCATCAACATGGTAACATCTGGGAAGCAACTCCAGGTAATGTGATAAGGCAATTACAATTTATCCAGAATTGGACCAAACCCAACCCGTATCAGAAACAATGGGGGGCAAAAGAGCAAAAAGCACGCCAAAATTCAAGGCGTTTCCCAATAAAACACAATCAGAGGGGGCAAAAAGTGCCAACATTTTTCCTGTGAAAATAACATGTAATTTTTAGAAACTGAAAGACCCTCTGACACAGGGGGGCCGCAGTGTTAATAAAATAACTTTTATATTAAGCTGTAATTAAACTTGTTCAGAAATGCACGTTGGATTGTCTCATTACTCCGGAAGCTTTGACTGGAGATTTCTTCAGCTAAATCAGTTGGGACCACATAAATGTTACACACAGCGCTAGCATTTTATTATTAATTCTGCGAGACATGAAGCTCTCTGCAAACATTGTCAAATAAAACCAGTAACCACAACTACAAAAGATCAGGATACACAAATGAATGAATCAACAAAACTGTGTTACCTCAATTTGGCCCTGACGAGCATAAGAAGGATGGTTTTTCAGGATCTTGATTGCCACGATCTCATTGGTGCCCCTCTTCCAGCACTTAGCCACTTGTCCGAACGTGCCTCTTCCTAAAAACTCCAGCACTTCATAGCTGCAGGACACGGAGCAGAGGATCTCGTGCTGCACCAGCTGATAATCCCCCTCCCCGTTGGAGCTGCTGCTCTTGGTGGTTGTAGCTGAGTGGGGTATAGACTGGCCTGTGCCTCCTCCGCCACCCCCGGTACGGGTGGAGTACGTTGCTGCAGGGGCTGAGAGCTCCTCCAATATTTGGACACTGCCACAACCGCTCCCGCTGCCTTCAGTGGTCTCCTCCATCTTTCTCTTCTGCCCGTGCCTGTGCCCCCTTGTTTCGGAGGTCGTCTCTGTGTGAGCGTAAGAGGAAGACGTGGCCTGCTCCACCACACGCCGACTGGATCCACGAGGGAGACTGCCGGTGCTATCAGCGGCTCGCACCACCACTTGACCTCTTGAGCCGGGCGCTGTGGGGGGGAAGACCAGAGATGGTGCAAAGGGTGCCACGGCCATGGCTGGGGCGAAGGTGTATGCCGACTGGCCCGCTAGGGAGCTGTAAGCTTCGGAGGTGGACACGTCCCAAACATTGTTCTCCACCTTCACCTTCTTAACGCGGCAAAAGGCACTGGAGGAGATGGAGGGGGGGGAGAAGACCTGCAGCTGAGAGCTCATCGCTGAAAAGAGATTGATGTGGATTAGATCAAGATAAAAAAACTAAAACAACAAAGAGCTATGGTACTGTAAGAAGCTCTTAAAATTATAAATAAAGTTTGCAATCTGTCTTGACAGACTGCAATGCAACATAAACTCAGTTTATTTGGTATACTTAGCAAAAACTAGTGCAGACAGATGCAACAGTCCATCCCATTTATATCAATGAATAAATAATGAAAACAACCCTCAATATAATTCAATACACCTTAACAGCACCTCCAAACTACAGTCTCCAAAATGAGCATCAAGTTGAACTTCCTCAGTCAAATAGTTTCAACTAAATCGATTAAAGGATTGATTGATTACTCTACTAACCAAAACATTTCAGGAAACTGTATTGATCATCAATTCAGCTTTTCATATATCAAGAAAAATACCATTATGTTTCTGGTTTCAGCTCAAATGTGAGAATTTACTTTACATTTGATAGTAAGATGAATAGCTTTGAGTTGTACCATGCTGGCTGGACAAAACAAGGAATATCAAGAAGTCCCATTGGCTCTGAGAAATTGCGATGGGCATCACGTCTTTATATTTAAAAACCATAATGAATATTTGATCAATTAAATCAATAGACAATGAGCATATTCATTGGTAGTGAAAATAGTTAACAGAGCAGCAATGCACACTTATTAGCTTCATGAATGTAGAGTTGTATTGCTGCATATTAGACAACAATAAGTTCAGTTAGCTGTCCCTTTCAAAACAGACATGCCCCAGAATCCATTACATTTGAAAGGCAGATAGACTTTTAAACTATATTGTGTTTATTCTGTCAAAACATTATAATTAAAGAGAAGGTACGGTATAATCTGAAGGGTTGCAACATACACAAATAAACTGTTTATGTTATGGTTATTAGAAGAAACCTTGAAGGCAACATTTTTTAGGATTGTTTGGAAGGTTGCTGGAAACTAAATGTCATATAGGATGTGTAGAAAGACAAAACATACATATTTCCCATCAATTATAAATGCAAATAATGGATGCAAAATAGATTATGCAAGCACCAGGAAGGAGGAAACAAATACATGTGTATGCCATAACATAGCTCTTTAAACGAAACCATTGCTGCACAGTCAGTGTTATGCAATGATAAGCTTGGATCCAATAAAGTGGACCCGTGTGTAATGATCCCCGGTTAAAATACACTTTCCAGTTAGAAGGAAAGGAATTCAAAAAAGGTTTTCTTACGAATGCGAAAACATAAAGCAGGTAAGATCCGTCCCATTGTATACAATCTATGGTTCCGACAGGGAAACTGTGATGGACCACAGTGGAAACCAAGCTACTGTTTTTAAATGTTACCAAATCCCTGACACATTTGGCAGACACATTATACGTTTGGCCTTCTCTTTGTTGACCATCTGCATGACACAGAAATACTTTATTATAGAATCAACAAGGACAAAATTACTTAACTCGCAAATGCTAACAAGCTAACGCGTTAACTTCGTGAACATATTGCGTTTAACGAGCATTTGCTTATTTAACAGACATCAAATTTGGTTAAATTACATACATTGCATGAAAGGCAACATTTGATTTAATAAAAGGTGTAAAATACCGAAATGGATGTTATCGCAGCGTCGAAAAATGGGGCTTTGTCCAAGGTTTAAATCCCACTGCAGTCTGCTGGAGCAGCGTTATCCGATTAGCTTCCGCTAGCTACCGTCAGATGCTAGCTAGGCCTGCATTGTTTCTTCAGCCGATGGAGAGCTAGGCAGCAGCAGAAGGCGTCACAGTGCCGAGTTTTCTCAACAAAAACACACATGTGTCCTTGTATTATTATATTAAAATCCTCTAGTGCTAAAACATATGTACATTTGTTAATTAAAACATTATAAATTATACTCTAAAACCGCCTGTCCTGAAGCAGCAAATCCACTTTTTCACAGGAACAACCACGTCCTTATATCAGCTGCGATTCCTACGTCATTTCCGGATTTTACCGTAATTACTGGGATAGGGAAGCACACAGAGATGAGCACTATTTCTTACACAATTAGCAACTAAGGCTGGCTTGGTTAAGATATCATTTGACAACTGTTATAACATGGCCATATGATTGACTAATTTGGTCTAGAGACATTTGAGATCGTTTTTAACATCAAAAAGGCTCACATTTTACGGTAAAGAGAAATCGAAGTGACGTAATCTACAAAAAATACCAGTAATTTTCCGGTAGGACCAAAATGTTCCACACGTCGTCGGACAAACCATGTGAACTTAAAATAGTCTCTAAAGGAAATCCAATATTTGGCAACATGATGAGGGGATCACACATTTAAAGAGTATGAAGACAATGTGCAGGCAGCATAGGCGTCATTTGCGCTGCATGGGGACATGTCTCCACCATCATTTCTGAACAAAAGCCCATAACTCGGCTGAAGCTGAGAGGAAGAGCTGTTGTCTTTCAGTCAGGAGGTGGTGAGTTTAATTCCAGCCATGCCGTTATCATATTGTTGATTTATCCTAGTGTGTGTGCGGCTTATTAAATGTTCTCACTGCTATAGTGGAGAAGACCTGTTAGAAATCCCATCCCTTACACTCCTGTTACTGAGTTTTAGGTAGTAGCAAAACCTTTTTACCAACACCAATAAACACTAATAAACATTTATATCTGGCTCTTGAGGGCTCTGAAGTGAAGTGTACTTCTTGCGCCAAATCCATCAATCAAAGTCAATCAGAGTGTATTTATTTAGCCCAATATCACAAATGTTACTTACTTTTGTCTCAAGGGGCTTTACAGTTGAACACGATAACGCCGGAAATTCCCGGTGCTGTAAGCTTTTAAAATATGTATTGAAGAGAGAAGAGCCACTTTGTACAACTTGACACAAAGCTTCCAAATGAAAGTGTGACTGGTCAGAGGAAGTGAAATAAAATATTAAAGCAACTCAAAGATATTGTTAAAGACACGTGCACTTGTTGAAACTTTCACAGCAATTGAAAGTAGCCTACATTTCTTATAAATGTTGTCGTATCCACAGAATACGAGGCTACCAAGCAAAACAAGTTTCTCCAAGAAACACAGAAATTAATAAATATATAAATGTATGTGAAAATAAATGTAGAAATACATTAAATATATATAATGTGTGTTCTGTTTTATTCTCGATTTATATTTATTTATTTCCACATTTATTTATTCCTGTATTTATTTATTTTGTCTTGTGTTTATTTATTCCTGTATTTATTGCACATTTATTTATTTATTCCTGTATTTATTGCTGCATTTATTTATTATTGTATTTTATTATCCCTGTATTTATTCCTGTATTCATTTATTTTGTACTTATGTCATGTTCTCTCCTCCATGCTCGTTGTGTGCATAAAGGTACAATTTCACTCCAAATCTCATCACAGCAAGACCTATAGTTGGGTTTTCATTATGTTAAAAACACATTGGTGGTCCAGAGGTTTATGCATTGGTTTTTCATGCAGGTGCTCGAGGTTCAACACCCAGGGAAGGGACATATTTTGTCTTCTGCTATGCTGATAATCTGGAGAAATGTCCCCACCACTTTTTCTAACAAAGTGAAGCCCATGATGTGCAGGCAGAATGTTAAAACTGGAGGTCAGTAAAGCATATTGTTGTGAAGTCAGGAAAAACACGTGAAGAATCAGAGACAATTAACTATTCAAGAAACTTGGCAAAGGACACATTAGTATTTGCAATAAAATGTTCTGATAATGTCAGCAGAGATAAAGGAAAGGGCAGTGGGCTGTACTATGTGTGAAACTGGTACAATGAAGAGTTTTGGGAAAAGAGACAGATCTGGAATTTATAACAACTGAAATTTGGGTAATATGGTTATATCAAAAAATGTAACTTTAACAATTATTGTGGAATACTTTTTTATTAGAGATATTAGAAGAAATTGCATATTTAGGGTTTTATCCGATTGCTTCATCACCCCCTTTCTGTACATTAATGGAAGATATACTAAATTAAAGGTTAACATATACAAATAGTGGACCAATGAGGTGTAGAAATACACTGGATCCAGCTTTATTAGAGTAGGAAATAAGAAAAGCCCAGATGATATACTTTCTCTAAATAAATACTAGGCAAATAAAAATAAGTTAAAGTGCAAATTTTTCTTTTTATTCTGATTTCATTTTACAGCAGAAATTATGTAAAGCATTCAGAAGACATTTTCCACATATAAGGGCAATATTCAAAACACTTTGCATGGCCTCAGCAACAAAATATTCTTTTTAAAAACATCAACAATTTAGTGATGCTTGTGCATGCACGTTTGTAAAACAAAGTAAAAACTAGGCTACAAACAAGAAAAAAAAGAGGAATGAAGGACTGAGATAGGCATGGAGAACACAACAGCAGGCAAGGTGGGAATACAGTAGGAAATGAGAGAGATAGAGAGGTGAAGAAGAGGAAGGCAAGGAGAGGTCTAGCCATATATTATCAATAAGGGTCTACCATTCTAGCATGCAATGGGGTGTTTGGCCACTCCCTCTCAAAACAAGGCCTGAAAGGTTATACCATTCATATCTGGGCGGACTCATGAGTACAGACGCCGTCTCTGCGCGTGTCTACCAGCTGTTTACTATGGCAATATTTCTTTATTTTATTTTTTACTACTACTCTACATACTATTTTTACAGTCACCATCCTCTCCCAAAACATGAACACACTATTGATGAATTAGCTGCAATCTGTGTGTCTAGTTTCATGTGTGTGTCATTTCTTTGCGTCTGTTGTAAAGCGCAAGCATTTTGATGTTGGTGTGTGTGTGTGTGTATTTGGCTGTGTGTGCATATATATATAATGTATAAAGGAGTCCAAAGCAGTGTTCTTTGTGGCTTGAGTTGTGCTGATGTGAGAGGAGGGGACGTTTAAGAGGAGCGATACAGTAACATGAACGAACCTGACAGCGCCGTCCTAACCAAGGCTGTCTCTCAGTATAAGGAAAATTCAGAAAACATGTGAAACACACATAATAGAGATAGCCCAATTGTAAATTGTTCAATATACTATCTCTTAAAACTCTTTATAATTAAGAAATTGAGGTGTTACGTGGCCTATTTTCCTTTAAGAATGATCTATATCAAGAATCTTGTGCGTTTAAGACAAGAACATGTATATAAATAGAAATATCATTTTTTCACTTGCTTTTATTTGAGTATAATCAAACTAAATCCTATAAAATACGGGATTTGGAGATTCTTTTTTTCCTTGTAGAAAAAAGTGATGCAAACACAGCTCGGATGAGGCAAACATCATCTGCTGCTTCACAAAATAAGACTAATTTGAACATTTGTTGATACTAAATTAGAGAATGAACAACTGGAGTATTCCTAACATACACAAATATGTACACATACATATGCATCGACAAATGTACACAGTCGTGGTACAACTCTGTGCAGGCCATCATCACACTCCACACACCATCTCCCTGTTCTTCAACCCTGAGTAAAATCTAAGGGACAGATTTAAATGTTCCCAAAGACATAAGCACAGAGAGAAAGTGTGTGGCATATTTGTGTGGGATTGTGTACCTTTGTGTACCGTATGTATGTGTTTACGTGTGTGCATATCTGTGTGAGTGAAAGACAAAGAAAGAAAGTGACAGCTATTTCTATCCTCTGGAGAACTGCTGGGTTATGCTTTCGTTTAAATGCTGCGAGAAGGTTTTTTTAAGGAAAGACAGACAAAGTAAGTCCCTGCAAGAAAACACATCTTCCTCCCAACAACGACACTGAGATCTTGAATGGACTTAGTGCCTTTCACACACAGAGGCGGAATCTATGGTTTTCTTGTTCTAATACTGCAAAATTGACACACAAGTGGGGGCATAAAGTGATACTGTAATTACTGATTTGACTCATAAAGCAACACAAAGCATCAGGCCATGAGCGTTCATTCATACCACTGACAAATTAGAGCTTCTAACTTAGACTCGGATCAAGTTTAACACTGTCATTTTTTAACACACAGTTTAGGAAAATAAACAGGTAACTGGCAACCTTTTGGAGGACATACAATAGATATTTCCTGATATTAGCTTGCACTTTTCTGTTAAATCGAGCAGGCACTTTCTAAACAGAGCTTTCCAGAAGTCTAAAGTACACGTGGTATCATAATGGCAGTGACAATGAATAAAACAGAAAAATAAACAAATGATATGTAAAAAAGGGGAGGGGAAGAGACATTCTGTTTGAAGATGGAAAGCTTTGACTGGAGGCCAGGCTGGACCCGCTGTAGGTGTGAGTAATGGTCTTAATAAAAGCTAGTATGTTGCTGAAGCACAACCACATTGTAAAGAATGTAGCACCCTCTTCACCATTCATTGCATTCATAGTAAAACGACCAAAATCACCATTAATAACATTTTCATACTTGCATCATCTTCGTCTACACAAACCTCTGAGCTTGTCTATGCTTGAGCTACTACTAGATCTCTTCTACTGTTTATTGTCTGTGTGTGTGTTGCCTCTGTGGATCTTACTGATATCTTTTGGGTGTTGGTTTCCCCAACGTAACATATTGTTAGGCAAAAATAGCATTCATAATAATTGGCACTACTGGCAAAAAGGGTTTAATTTTTGCTAGCCAAGAAAGAAAAAGCACAAAGTGTAAATGTTTTTGTCTGAAATCTCATTGTTTCAGCTAACTTTGTTTTCCCACTTATATTTCTAACATTAGATTTTTCAGTAGCATGCTTTAACAAAATGTTCTTTTCAGTAACACTTATACTGGATACTCTTAAAGTGAAGCAGTTAAAATCCTCTCACAGTCCAGAGCCACTAACATGTTCTTTTTGCTGTTTCTTAAATCTCATGCACATTACTCCGTTTGTATTATCTACATTATTTACAAGCAATACAGCCATCCTGTGTACCCAGGCCTCTGTCTTAAGTTCTCATTATGGGA